TAAACGCAGCGCGGCGCTTCAAGTGCAAATGTAAAACGAACGAATAATGCCAGTGCCTGTGCTTCCGTACCATCTGGCATAAGGCACATTCATTCATACTTAAATTTTGTTACACTAGTAAACGCTGACAGTTGTTTAGTCTTCTAAGAGGACAAAGACACTACATCAATACTAAGTCATTAGCGCATGTGTTTGGGCTATAAAAAATGCATATTAAATATCTTATTTTGATTTCTAGCAAATAATTACCACGCAGCCCCTGCCAAGTAAAGAATATACAAGTACGAATTACTCATTTTAGCTGGCGATACGAAGAAGGCGGCAAAAGAAAGCGAGCGGACGCCCCGCCTCCCCGGGAAGTTCGCGAACCGCAGCCCAAAGGAAGCAGGAAGAGGGCGGGGAGGGCAGTGGGCGGCGCGGTCGCCAGAACGCGATAAAAGCAAAAGAAGGCAGGGGGGAATGTCGGGCAGAAGAGAGCGCGGGCGGGTTCTCGCGGCGCCAGATCTGGGCCGGCGATTGGCGCAGCGCTCCCAGGCCGCTCTCCTCCTCCAAGCTAGCAACACACCCACGCTCGATACGTCCATCGGAGCTGTTTCAGGCGTGAGGTGTATCGACGTTCAACACTCACCATTAATGGAAGAAAACCGGCGTAGTAAAATTAGTTGACCGAAGTCGGTTGCAGAAGAATACATTACTCGGTGCTGAATCGTCCTGGGGCACACAGGCACTTAAATGTACTGAGAAGTAACCAAGAAAAACTGCAAAAAATTTAACAACTGTTACGAGTGAAAATGAAACATAGTGGCAGCCACTTTCAATCATACATTATTTAAAAAAAGTAGTAATTAATAGTTTTAGAAGCACGTTATTAACGTATCGGAAAACCCGAGCAGTTAGGGCGATTGGACGTTATTAACATACAGATTAAATTCCAAGTCGTGTATTTTTTCGCAGTTAATTTCATCTAGGGCGTCCAAGAGCTTCATTGCGGCAGCTGAGCACGTAAGAGGAGGCCCGAGCGCCGCGCAGAGCGCCCCTTCCCCGGAAGCAGCGAGTGGAAAGGCGAGGGCCGGGCGGAAGAAGGGGCGCGGGCTGCGGCCGGGCATTTAACGGCCCCGCGCCTCCGCTCTGCACTGCACGGGACGTCGCCCGGAAGCGCACGCAAGGGCACAACTGGGCAAGCGGAATCCCAACACACTGCACTCAGCGGGCGGGGCTTGCACGAGTCTCATTATCTGACAATCCTCAGCTGCTTGCACATTATATTATCATTCGTAAAACCTTCCACAAGACAATCATCGAATGGGATTATTAACTTAAGTCAAAAGTTAAAATCCGATTTGCCGACCACAGTTTGCGTTACAATCATTCCATTCCTTTAAACGTAGCTTTCTGTAACGTTCCTCAAATAACTTCACTTTTTTCGCCTACTTCTACTTCATCCTTTTCTTCGCGTCTTTTCTCTTTCCTCTCCCTCACAAACTTCATTTTTACTTTATGACACCTTTCCCAGTACATCTTTTCTTTTCTCTTTTACTAAACTTCCCTTTCACTACTATGTATAACATACTCAAGATCTATTAAAATTCGGCCCTAAGCCGCCATCCTGATTGAGTTTCATCTGGGTTTACTTCATCGCTTAAGGCGTACGCCGGGATGGTCCCTTGTCTTGCACTCCCAGACGCAAATGTACAGCTTGTCCCCTCTCTCAGCCTCTCTTCCTGTTTTTCCTCTTCATTTTCATTTATATTTCCTTTCTCTTATTTTTCCTTGTCTTCCACTTTCCTCCGTAAATTGATTATGTTCGGCCCTAAGCCGCC